AATTATAGTATTAAAAGTCAACCTCCCTTGCTTACATGCAAATGTTACCTTTATCTTGAATCAATGTTATTTTGTTTTTCTTTAATGTATGAAATGCAAGAATCTATAAAATACAGGAAAATTTGTACACTAGCTAATAGCTTCAGTAAATCATAACTTTTATTTTACTTGGTAAAATTTAATAATATTAAGTTAAAATGTCCATATCAATCATATACCAAAAGTTACACGATAAAAATAAGATAAATCTAGAGAAAATGTATTTTTATCATTTTTGGGGTAAACTTAATCAATACATTTGATATCATTGAAAACAAAAATAGGTTTTTGGTTATTTACTACGATTAGAAGACTTTTCTCAACTGAAGTAACATGCGAAAAATGACCAAAATCCGATTGTCTCTCTTTTCCTTTTCTCCTCTTCGTCTCCCTTTCCCTCTCTCCTTTGGCTCCTTCCTGGCCAAGCCAAATGAAATGAGGGCTGAGGCTTTAGTGCTTTAGGTTTTAATATACATTAAAACACTGTTTGTGGCCTAGCGCCACTGAGTTAAAACCCTCGGTGTTGCTGTGCCAAATTATTTTCAAATTTTTCCAAGACTAGAGTGATGAGGACATCGTCAGCATTTTCGACACGTGTACCATCAGGAGACGCCCGAGATCGACGACCACGATCATGAGTTTTATTTTGAGTCATTTTATGTAGTAGTTTATTTTATTTTCAGTTTTTTCCGCTTTTTCCCTTATGGGTATTTGGTCGCTATTGTAGCCCAAGGGGCATTTTAGTCTTTTGTTTTCTTTGTCATTTGGAGGCCTATATATGGCCCTTTTCTTATGTAATAGTTAGTTTTTTGATGAATGAAAATTTTGCCACTTATGATCTCTTTGTGAGTTCACCCTCCTCGATCTCTTAGTGAGTTCGTAGGAGAAGCTAGATCTCTTTGTGAGTTCTAGGTTTTCCTTGTTTTTCGTTTTCTTTAGTTCTCTTGATCAATTCGTGTTGTAGAGATTTGGATTGAAGCCACTAGTGGGAGATTGGATTTTCATGTTTTGAATCCCAAGAATTT